GCAGAATTTGCTACAGAAGAGTCCATCTCCAAACATTTTCCTATTTTTTTCATGAGCTCATAATTGTAATGAACATATTATAAAATTTATCAAGCCACATAATACTATATAGCTGCTATCTACAAGCTTCTCAGGGAGGTGTTAGTTGATAATTAAGAAAATTTCCCAGAAAGTTGGCAAGTACATAAAACACAGATGGGGCTTTCTGATCCCAATACACTCAAGCTTGTATTTCTGATCTTTGATCCATGCCATCCTGTCCACATTAGGATACTGCTGGACGCTATGATGGATATAAAGATGTGGATGGTATTCTGGCCCCTCATGCCCCACCCTCAAACAGAAGTCCTCTCTATTAGTACTGCAAGATATTACTTACTTTGATGTGGGATTGGTGCACATATGATTAGTCAGGCTGGCACAGGCAGCCCAACACAATATGTCTGCAACCTCTATAGAAAAGGAGGATTTTGGCAGAAGCACAAAGAGAGTTACGGTACAGGAAGAGCTGCGATAATGCGCCTGCGCTGTAGACCATCAATGATGGAAACTGCACAGCGCGGCCAGGGAGCAGCCCGGGACCAAGTCTCCTTTACAGTCTCAGGAGAAGCTAACCCTGGCAGCCTTACTTTTGGGCTTCCGGTCTGTAGCACTGCATGGTTGCACTTCCGAGCTTCTCAAAGCTAGATGCATAGTACATTGCTATGACAACCCTGTGGGATGAACCAAAGGTCAGAAACACTGAGTTTCTAAAATGGTGAAGCTGCGAAGCCCCGGGCCACAGTTCCCTTATGCTGAAGACTGATAGACTATCAGCTCCACAGGGCCATAGTGGATGCCCCGTATTCCTGATTGCAGCATTGTAGTCATTTGCCAGGCAGGAAAAATATGAGCTTAAAGGCATGGCATCCGGGTCTCCTGAAGTTCAAAATCAGTTCTCTTGAATGTATTGTAGCCTGACTTCTTATGCTTGGGGTTGTAGCCTCACAACTCATGCTAGGGGTGTGTGTGTGTGTGTGTGTGTGTGTGTGTGTGTGTGTGTGTGTGTGTGCGCGCACGTGCACTCCTACTTGTGAATGGTCAGAGAAACTGGAGTCTAAGCTGGCATATTGATGAACAGAAATGTCATGGGAGTACAAAGTCAAAGGTGCTTCTGTCATGAGCGTTGGCCCGATGGCTTCCCATCACTGCACAGTAATGTGGTCCCCAGGCTCAGAGACAGGCATTCATCACCCCATAGTAGCACAGGTTATGGGGCTGAGGTGTAGTCAGAAGAGAAGTAGCCTCAGAGCTGTTTAGGCAGAGGCTGTTTCTGTTAGCTTCCCAGGTTTTAGAGCCAGCCTCCTTTCCTTGGTCCACGACACCTTCACATATTTAAGGCTGACACTGGAAGGTCACCTGAGTCTCACAGTGTCCCCCACCTGGCTGTAATTACTGCTGCAAGGATCCTTCCCAGACAATATAGGGTAATATCCCCTCTTCAAGGTCAGCTGATGATTGGCCTTCACTCCAGTGGCTCCTCACCACCTTTGCCTGTGCCCTACAGCATCTTTTGAGCAGAGAGTTATTCTTACATCATCATTCCTGGGCATGGAGTGCTGGTCAGAACTAAATGGGAAGTGGAGGTGTCAGAAGATTTGGGGTTCTGTTCACACTGAATTCTTTTTCACTCCTGGTGACTCTCCCAGTGTGTCCTCATGTGAGCTCTCTGTGGTGTCTTTTACAAAGGTGCCAACTTCATTCACGAGACTTCAACTCTTACAACTTCGTCAACTCCCCAAGCCTGCCTCATAGTATCTCCAATTAGGAGTTCAAATGTCACCTTGTAAAACTTGGGAGACACAAATGTTAAAACCACAGACACCACCACAATCACGATGGAGATTGTGCCTGGCATCATGGTGAAGATCATACCAAGCATCAAGGTAGAGTGTATGCCAGGCATCATCGTGGAGGGTGTTACTGGCATCATGGTGGAGAGTGTGCCTGACATCATTATGGAGAGTATGCCAGGGCTCATGGTGGAGAGTATGCTAAGCGTCATGGTGGAGAGTATACCTGACATCATCGTGAATAGTATGCCAGGGCTCATGGTGGAGAGTACACCAGGCACCATATGGACCTGGCCAAAGAAAAATCTAGCTATCAGACAGCAGTATGCCAGGAAAAACAGTTTCTCCCTAAGATTGGGTGGTATGCTGTTCAGTTTTAAACCAACTTGACAGAGGCCCCAGGAAATGTGAACTTCAATGCAGAAAATGTCTCCATCAGACCGGCTTGTAGGAAGCCTGGAAGGCTACTTTCTTGATTAATGATTGATGTGATGGAGCCAACCCTATTGTGAGTGGTATCATCCTTCTGCACATTGTATAAGAAAGAAATCTGAGCAAGCCATGGGGATCGAGCCAATAAGCAGTATTCCTCCATTGTCTCTACTTCTGTCCGTCCAGGTTCCTTCCTTGAGCTCCTGCCTTGACTTCCCTCAGTGATGGAGAGTGACCTTGGAGTTGTAAGCTGAAGTAAACTCGTTCATTCCCCATGCTGGTAATTGATTGGTAGAGAACATGCCCCTGGGGGAGGATTCCAGGATGAGGCAGACCTATAATTTCACCCCTCCTGTGGGTAATTCACAAACATCTGGACTGCCACATAGCCAGCAAGTGGAACTTCTGTGGCCCAGCCAGCCAAATATCATGGATGTCACCGGTTGGATAAAAAATTAAAAGGTGAGTTCTCAGGTGTCATAACTGAGCCCAGGCCAGGAGGCACATAATCCCCTCCACTGAACCCGGAAGAAGTGCTGTGAGGTCGAGAAGCCTGTGTGCAAGAGAGAAGCAAGAGTTCCCAAGGGAACAGAAGCATTGACGGTGCACACATATGCACCCATCACGCACACACTCACACTCATTCACAACTCACTCACACATACACACTCACACACACACTCACTCTCACACACACGATGCATATACATGTGCACACACATGAACACACAAATAAATAATATATTTTAAGTGCATGCTATAATAAAAAGAGGAAAAATGACCCCAGTGAGATTCTGTCTCTGACTTAGCAAGCGGCTGCAGTATTCCATCTGATAATTGGCTCTATAGTAGCGGGGTGAGATGACTTTGCTTTTTAAACCTTACATCTTTAGATGTAAAAGCTATTCAGAAGTGTTTTAAACAAGAAGATAGTTAGGACATACTTAAAACTCCCTCAGTGATATTCATTGTCAGCCCTCTACTGACCACAAGAGGGCGCTGCAGACCTAGGAAAGACTGCATGACTCTACAGTGTCTGTAGAGGCCACAGGAGAGCATTTGATCCCTGAGAGCTGGTGTTACAGGTTTTTGTGAGCCATCATCTGGGTTCTGGGAACTGAACCTCCTTGCAAGAGCAACAAGTGCTCTTGTCTAGCCAGGCTTACTTCTTTTTATTAAAACAATTGTTTTTCATATTCCTGTCTGAACACGCACCAAGAATGAAGGTGGGAGAGGAGAATTCCGAGTGCTTGTGAGAAAACTCTGTAGAGGCATCTTGCCTTGGCAAAGAGCTTGCAGAGTAAGCCACACCCTTTGGGCGTGGTTTCAGGTGCAGATGTGACCCATTATCAGGTAGAGGAGGGGCTGGCTCATGCTTTCTTGGGTTGCTGAGAACATCGGAAGGGCAGAGACTGCATCTTCTGGAGCAGGAAGACCAGGGCAGTTATTTACTCTAATCAGAGTAAGTGCTTCACTAATAAACACCTATTTATTTATTTATCTTGGGTCTCTCAGTAAAAAAAGAGTCTTGTGACCTCAATTTCTTCAAAACTATGGAAGTGTTCTTGGAATGGGCCTTTGTGACCCTCCCAGGTGTATCAGATAGGAGTGAGCTTATTTTAAATTATTCACTACAACTGGCTCTTATTATTTTTCATGTGCCTCTACACAGTTTTGCCATGTGTAGCTTGTCCTTGTGGGTGAACAACTTACTCATGTGACTCTTAACTTTCAGAGTCTAAAATTGCCTGATGCTCTAAATAAAGTCGGCTGTTGCATGAGGCTTCAGTCAGCATAATTTTTAGGCTTAAATCTCTCAGGTTCACACCACCAATTAAAACAGCAGTTTCTAATCCCTTACTTCTTCTGAGCTCCTCCCCAGCTCTCCACCCATCAGACTCCAAGTCTTCTCTCTCTTTCTCTTTCTCTCTCTCTGTCTCTCTGTCTCTCTCTCTCTAGAAAACAAAAAGACAAATTGAAAAACAAACAGATCAGAAAAAAGAGAAGAAAACAGCTCAAGAAATGCATACACGCCACACACAAACCATAAAGTACAAAATCAGAAACCATAATATACAAGTCAAAGACTATTAAGATTAAAAACTGTCCATAGCACTATGAGACAGATCTACAAGGATGGCTTTGAGTTCATTTTGTGTTGGCCATCAACTGTAGGTATGGGACCTGCCCAAGTGTGCCTTGTATACCCAGAGAGACTCCATTGCAGAAAACATTCTTTCCCCTGCAAGCAGTTGTCAATAAGAGACAGCTTCATGGTTAGAGATGGGGTCTTGTGTCCACTTCCCCCTTCAGCTCTGGGAGCCCTTCTGGCTTGAACCTGTGCTGGCCTCGGGCATGCTGCCACTGTTTCTGTGGTGTCTGGAAGGCATTGTTCCTTTGTAGCAAGCATCCCCTCTGGCTCTTAAAATCTTTCCACCCTGTCTTCTGCTCATTTTTCTGAGCCCTGAGGGGAGAGAGAAAGACATCATGCAAAAGAGTTTGAGCAGGGCGTTGTTTTTTTTTTATTAGGGGGAAAGGGGAAGGGAGAGGCCAACCTCTAGGGACAGGAGCAGCAGGAGAGAGGAGAAAACAAGCATGAGAGCTAGATGGGAGGGGGCAGGGCCCTTTTGAAAGGGAACACAGTGAACACGCACAGGTGGTGCTCTTAGTGGCTGCAGCTGACGTATCCTGTCAGAACCCCAAGGGCAGGCCAGTACAGATGCCTGGATACTAACAGGCATCCCATTTAAGACTGAGTTACAAAGTCTCTCCCTCTGTAAACATTGTCCAAAGGTGGGTCTCTCTGTTCGTTCTCATCTACTACAGTGGGAAGCTTCTCCGATTATGGGTGAGTGAGACATGGATCCATGGGTACAGCAGAATATTGTTAGGAGCAATTTCATTGCTATGGTCCCTTAGCGGAACAACAGTCTTTGGTCTTCCACTAGGCCCATGGCCTATACAGTCTCTAATTATTGACATCTCGAGCAGTGCCAGGCAGACATTATATCTCACGGATCAAGCCTAAAATCCAACCACATAGTTACTTCCACAGCTTGTGTGACACTATTGCTCCACCGTATCAGGCAGGCTGGTCACAGTTGCAGGTCACAGGGCTTGTAGGTGTTGTGGTTGTTACCTTTCTCTTCTGGTAGCAAGCAGAGTTACCCTTCCAGAACTGTGAAATATAGATAGTAGGGGTGAAGGCTCTAGTTGGACGGACACCATCTCAACTTCTCCAAATCCAATGAGATATGTAAGTATTATCTTTGGCAATGGGGCCTACTTCAATTTGGGGGAACAACCAATAGCTAATGAAAAGCAAAGCCCTGTTTTGCTTTAGTACTGCTAGGTGAGTTAATCGGGCAAGCTACTAACCAACCCTAAGTCTTGATGTAGAAGACGAATCTCACAGGGGTTCACCAGAGGAAGTGACTTCACTGTAGAAATACTACGGTAACTACATTCATGGATATTGAGGACCCCATGAGCCCACTGAAAAATCCCACGAGATCAAAAGAAATATATACGCAACTGGAACCTTTCATCTTCTCCCCCTGAGAACAGACCAGACTTTCAGACTCAGGTGTGGCCACAGCTTGAGTTTCAACTTGTATTGCCCTTCCCTTTGAATCTGGGCCTCCCTGGAGTAGTGGACATGTTCTGCTTTCCCAGTAAATCTCATCTATGAATCACAGGTCATCACTTCAGACACACTGCATTGTGAGAGGAGACAAGAACACCACAGTCAAGGGGATAGACCATCATGGGAGGGCACACCAGAGATTGTTAACCTTGGTTAAAACTATCCACAGCTTCTAAGCAGTTTACCAGACAGTTCATACTTTAACAAAACTGTTGGTGGATCTCACTTTGCTTAGCCTAATGTGGCCAGAGTGAATGCCCATTTCAAACTGACCGTGGAAAAACTGTCTCCACCAGCCACCTCAACTCCTGTGTGAAGAGAATGTGTCGTCTCAGCTTCCACCCCAGCACTGCCAAGGTCTGTGAGCGCTGATGAGATACACTAACCTAACTGCATTGACTCTTCCTCTTGCCATAGAGAAACAGAAAGGTAATTGGCTCTTCTGCCATTCTTGCCTCTCAGCCCAGAGGAGGGCAGACCAGCCGATACCAAAGCTAAGCTGATGAAGGTGTTTTCTTAGAGTTCCCGCCTCAACCCTTTGCATCTAAGTCAATGTTTGAGAGTGCTGGAGTAACTTGCTACTGGTCTGTTTCCCACATGGCAGGAATGACTATCCATTTGGCTCAATAGCTTTCTTATTGTGCCTAAGGCCTGCAAGGGGCTAGGTAAGCAGTACTGGCTTTTCCATGTGAGGGAAGGCAGTCAGTGGGAATACTGTCAGTCATTAAGGGAGCCGTAGCACCAGGGAATCCATTACCTTGGGATACCCTGCTGAGCTGTCTTATGTTTCCTTAGCTTCCCTGTCATCCATCTTCTTTGTTCACCCCACTCCCCCTCGGGTTCACACCATCCTCCAAGCCTCCTCGTGTGTGATGGCTAGGGACTTCACTGTGAGCCTGTCATTGAACCAAGGCAGAGGGCTCACAATAATGAAGCTTCTGTGTGTGTTGAAGAGTATGAGGTTGTGAGTCTCTGTAGGAAAGGTTTATGCAAAGGTGAAGAGACTCCCCAGCCTCCTCTGAGATGCCAGCCCTCTGCAGCCAGGGAGATGAGTCACCATTACAGAGAACTCTCTAAGTTCAATGCTGATGTGCTGCTATGCATCAAAATAATTATATATCCTTCCCAAAGTGGGGGACACGATATCGAGAAACTTACCACAGTTGTCCAAATCACATACTGTTATCACAGTATGGGCCACAAAGACTGGCTCCTGGTGAGGCGACCTGGGTGGTTGGCTCTGATGTCACTGAGTTAAGTGACTTTGCACTAGTGACTGAGGCTCAGAGGGTATTTCATCCTCTTTAGGAGAACATCACTGAAGATGATCAGTCATCATGAGTCCGGTGGCTCAGAGTCAGGTGATGTAGTTAATGGCAACAGCCTGGTATCTCAGCTTTTCCTGAGCAGGAGTTAATGGTATTTCTTCTGGTACTCAAATTCAGCTGGGTCACCAGCTCTCCCTCAGCAGGAGAGTCATGGTGGTGAGAACTATGTGGCTCCCCACAGGCCAGCCAGGCCTAGCGCCAAGCTCACAGGCGAATATTCTCACATTTGCACAGGGAGTTCCACACACACTGGCCGAATTTCCAGTTACCTAACCTTCATATACAGTGTTTAAAAGGAACCTGAAAGAACATGGGAGAAAGTACAAATGTGGACCAAAAGGCTTAAAATGTTATGAACTTTGCCAGTAAGAAGTGAAAGGGCCTTCCAGTTGCCCGCCATGGTGCGGGTATCTCGATCTGATATCAAGGTATAAGACACCCTCAGCAGTGTCCACATCCGTGAGCATGAGTAGTCCCCCTCAGAACTGCAGACACACGTGTGTGAGTCTGCTGTAGCATGTACTTTCAAAAAATTACTTCTCTTGCCTTAAGGCTTTGAAAGTGCAAGTGCCTAGGATTTCAGCAAAAATTTTTACAGTGCTGGCATTGCTTAATATTTGTTTAACTGTATTTTGTTACTTTTGTTGCCTGCATTGTTTCAGGAGGTATAAGTTTGCAGAATGAAGAGAAGCATGTCTTCTGCTGCTAGGAGCCGGCTGCTGGTTCTTGGGGCCAGTCTCCTTGGCAACTGCCCACTGCCTTGACCCAGTCACCTACAGCAGCAATTCACGGTCAGGATGGGTAGATTTTCTTATCCATCTTTGGCTTCACATTTGTAAATATTTGCTTAGGTTTTGCTCTTTATGTTCTCAACCACACCAGCTTCCATTTGGAAAAGGAGCTTTGGAAACATTCTTTCACTTTAAAGAATAGCCAGTCCTCTCCCACAAGCTGCCTACCGTAATTACTAATGCCATCAATCTGCCCAGGGAACCTTTCTTGTGGGTTGTTACAGCATCGGGTAAAGAATTCTTGGCTAAAGGGCTTGCTGGGCTCTATGGAGAGGTCAGAACCAGTGGCTGACAAAGCTGTTGACTCTGTGCCTAATACCTTGCTGAGAGTAACAAACCCAGCCTGCTCTCCCATTGCCTGAGACTTTCCCCAAGCTGTGTCACCAAGGTCTGGAACTGGACTGAAAGGTCTTCATGTTCTTTCTCGGACAGGTGCCCACGTCAGCCTTGGTCAGTTGGTGAGAAATGGAGTGTTCCGCAATTCCAAAGAGGAGGGAATGGTGTCCCATGCATTTCTTTTCCCTCCAACTCTTCCCTTTGAGTCATGCCAGGCTCCCCTCTCCTGAATCTGAACCACCTCAGATAATTCCGGAGGGAAATCAGCCATTTGTAATCAAGATGGCTCATCTTGGAGGCTGTGTATGTGCTGACCAAGATACAAAAGCAGTTTCGTCTCATGCTTTACTTTAAGTATTCTCATCAAATAAACTTTTTGCTCATCATGGTTGAAATAAAGATATTTTTGCTTGTTTTTGTTTTTCTTCTTCAACAGCTGCATTTGGTGACAGGTTGAGGATGCTCACTGACAACTGAAGAGTCCATCTGACTAACAGGGATGGCTGTGAGTAACACAGGTCCAATCTGGGTAGCAGAGGGCAGGTGGGAATTGAAGCCCAACACCCACATAAGAGAAGATATCCAGTGCTCTGCAGGAAAATTGCCTAGTTTTGACTAGGCCACTGTTGGCCAGGAGTCTTGGTCAGTCAAGTCTCCAGGGTCCTCTTTCTAAGCTCTCCACACAGCAGCAGGCTAGCCCAGTGGCTGTTCTCAGGCGAGCACGTTGAGGAACAAGGTGCCATGCTGAGTCATAGTCAGAACAGGTCACTGGTCTTCAGGAGCTGAGGCACTATCTAGACAAAGCCTGCAGGTCAGCATCTCCATGCTCTAAGGTCAGAAAGCCATGGGCTATGGAGGGACAACTGGTAATATGAAAGAGGCCACTCAGAGTCACGCCCTGTTCATCTACAGTCTAGGATTCCTAATGCACAGTTGCTAGGAAATCTGGGTTCTTCATGACCTTGACTTTGATGCAGAGGTGACCTTGGTGGAGGATTGTTGCAGGTGACCCTGCTCGGACACCCCTTGCAGGAGTGGGTGAGAAGACACAGCACCAAAGACACAGGCACTGGGAGTCAGTGAGTAACAGAGCGTGTCGCAGACTCATTTATTAAGGAAGTTAGACCTGCCTTTATACCCCCTCCCAAGGTCCCATTGGCTCAGGTGACTGACTCGGTTGTGTTGTCCTTTCCTCATTGGTATCCCTGGGTCAGGTGTCTCCATCATCAGGCTCTGGGCTTTGAGGAAGGCTTGGCGGCCTGGCTCAGGGAGGAAGTGTCTACTGCGCATGCACATGAGGCATGACCTGGCCACTGGACTCAGAGGGATTGCAACTTGCATAGATTGGCCACAGTTTCTCCCACATAGGATGAAACACCAACATGTTCGAAGGGAGGACACCCAGGGTCTGGAGTCCCATCCCTCTGGATTGGCTGAACTGAATCTTAGGGTCAAGCTTGGACAGCAAACACCTTTCATGGTTTCCTCAATTAAACCAGCAGAACCATCATAAATCCTATGTCCAAAGCAAGTGTTGGTCCTTCCCCACAGACACTAACAGGGTAGGAGAGTGAATCTAGTGAGTTGCTCCCCAATCCTTCTTTTATGTGTATGCTGGTCATGAAATCTCTGTCTGGCCAAGCAAATCACAAATGTCCATATGAAGTCCGGCTGCAGAGGGTGTCCTCGTGTGATGAGGATGCTACACTCTGGCCCTCCCATCTGCACAGTGAGCATGCACACACTCAGTCCCAGGCAAGTGACCTTGCTTGAGCCTCTTTGTCAATAGAGGACATCTTTACTCAAGCACTTCAAGACGTGGCCACCAGAGGGAAGCAAAGGACTGTGGGTGGAAAGTAGACACAGCTGCAGAAGTTCCTGGAAACCCCAAGCCTGGAAGATTTCTCTTCCTGGGCTGAGCATCAGGTCCTTTGAAGGGTATGAGACCAGATCCATCCCATAAATCTGCTGTCCATCCCTGGGGTTTGAATGTATACCATGCATAGTCTGCTAGTCAGATGATTTCAAAATCTTTCTTACTTGCTTTTTATTCTATTCTTTATTTTATTATATTGCTTATTTCTATTTTGTAAAACTATTGAAATGCACATTGACCTATATTTTTTCCCAGAAAGTGTATGACCTTAATGTCTCTTCAGGACCATGTGAAGGTATTGAAAGCAGCATGAGGCCGCCCTGCCACCTGGGGATGGAGAGATGCCATTATCAGCAGGTGACAGGCCAGGGATGGGGTCTCCGTGTGATGCTTGCTGACATGAGGTCTCCCTTTGTCCTGAGGACATCAGGAATGAAGGTACAGATAAGGCTAAGGGGGAGAGGGGATCCACATTTCCTGAATCTTTTTGTCACCAGGTGATAAGGATGAAGCTTTTGGATCTCCCAGGACTTAGGGACAGTCCGAGACCAACGCACATCTGCCAGGCTCAACCCAGTGGAGGACTACATTCCAGGGAGACAGACTACTCTGTGGTGAGTGTATTTTGTCATGAAGGGGCTATGTGAACCAGTTGGCAATCAGGGGCCAGCAGGTTTTCTTCCATGGTTAGCACAGACACGTGCGGCTGGAGGTGGGCACGTTAAACATGCCTGTTAGCTGAGCCATGATCACATCTGACAGACATTCTTGGAAAGAGCTCCCAGAGTGCCTGGTTTTGCTTTGCTTTGATCCAGGAGTGCTCGTGCTGTGTTATATTCTGCTGCTTCATAGCACAACCATAACAAATTACCATGAAATCAACAGCTTCCAGCAGCATCAACTATTTCCTCAGGGCTCTGAAGCAAAGAAGACTGGAATCAAAGTGCTGGCAGGTCTCTGCTCACTCCAAGGACCTCTAGGCTGCTTTCTTCCTGCCTCTGCTGGATGCCCATCATTCTTAGCTTATGGTGATACCCTCCAATCTCTGACTCCATCTAAACTGGGCCTTCTCTCTCCCTGTCTTGTGTTTCTCTGGGGAATGTTTCTCATTTGGGACACTCTGCTCAGTTTTGTCACCCCCACACACACAACCCATGCGATGCTGTAGAAGAACTGTTCAACTTGCTAGCTGTTCAAACTCTTAGATTTGAAAACGCAGGATTCAGTTAACACTCAGTTCCACTGAGTCAACATTATGGAGTACATGTGATCCTCAGTCTCATTTGCCACTGTCCAGACCTCAAAACCAAAAGATGACAGACCTGGGGCTAAGTTGCAAATTGGAGCTGACCCAGAGAACTTGATGTAAAGCCACAATGCCTTGGCAGGGAATTGCTACCAAGAAGGCCCCTTGAACACACCTCGGTTCCACCAAGGATTTCTCAGACACCCTCAGCACCTTTAGCAAGAGAAAACTGATTAAAAATGTGTGCTTTCTAATTGTTGGAATGCTGTTTAATGCAAGAGAAAAATCAGTTGTCTGCATCCAGATATCCATCTATTCATGCTCTCCGTCCAGCGCTTCCCACAGGGAGTCTTCACTGACCCCGTTTCCTGGATGTGAAAAGATGAGTCCTTCATCACTTTTCCTGAGGAAGCTGAGGAAGAGCAGGACAGGTGACCAGTGTGGCAGTGTGTCTGTGCATCATAGACTTTCTCCTGTGGATGGCAACCCACCAGGCAAATGCATGAAAAATGGAGCCACACCTACCAAGCCCCCATCACAACCCTTCATAGCACCCACAGTGTTCATCCTCATCCCAGAGCTTAACATTGTGTGCCCTTAACAGCACAAACCAGAACGTTCTAGAAAGGCCTGACCACAAATCCTCCCCAGTCTATCCCATGAACCCCACATCTGATCCTTCTTGGATGCAGGACACCAACTCCTGGCTAGTCCATGAATCCCAAAAACAAGTCCACAATTTTCTTTGAGACCAGCTGTGATGAGTGTCCTTGGTTATCAAAATGACTACATCTGCGGTTAACTAAAACATGTGAGAGGTTTTTTTTTCTTAGTTTTAAGTGGGAAGCTCTACTTCTAACCTGGACCTTTTAAGTGGGAAGGCATACCTTTAATCTGGGTCCCACCTTCTGCTGAAGCCTGTATAAGGACATGGAAGAAGGAAGCTTTTGTTTTTTGATGGCTTTCTCTCACCCTCACTAGCAAGTCAACTCCTTCTCTGATGTTAGAGCCTATTTCTTGGGGATCCTGGCACGTACTGAAGACCAGCTGAGACATCCATCCTCGGGGACTAAGGGCTCTTGAACCTTCCATTTATAGATGGTTATTGATAGATTATCAGGACCACAGCCTGTGAGTCCTTCTTATAAGAGAGACAAAGATTCATTCTATAATTTCTGTTACTCTAAAGATCTCTGAATAATATACCAGGAAGCCCCAACTTTCTTGCCACCATGAGGCCACACCATAGTCACTTTGGTCACTGTGTTCTCAATGATGACTCTGCATCAAGCTGCATGGTGGATGATGTCTTTCAGCCACAAGATGTGAGGATCTTTGCTTTGTAGTAGGGTTTTCTGTAGTAGCATCTCCTCTTACCAGTGAATGTGTTAGTGGCCACACCCCTTTGGGCGTGGCATCAGATGCAGCCCTGACGGGAAGGTGGAGATGCAAGGGGAGCAGTCACTCTCCACTCTCCTTGGGTAGCAAAGAGCTTCTGAAGAGCAGAGACTGCATCTTCTGGAGCAGGGATGCAATGGTGGTTCTTTACTCTTATCTGTGGAAGTTGTTCCCCAATAAAACACCCATTTATCACTTATCTTGGGTCTGATGAACTCATTACTACCTGTCTTCAATTATCATACCCATAACTCTGGGGCAAAAATGCCCCTAGACACAGGAGAGGAGATTAGAATACTTTCTCAGAAGGTCTAGTGAAGACTTAGTCTCTGGAGAAACAGCGTGGAGAGAGAATCTTCCATGCAACCTGGACAAACAAGCTGAGAGGCAGGTTACAGATGATATGACAGGAAAGAGACAACCCGACTTTCCTGAGACAATCACAGAGGAAGTTCCTACTGACTGAAACGGGCTTGCTTCCACACAGGGCGTGTCCCTGGATAGAAGACGCAAGGCTGGAGGACCTGGCCACTGGAGGCTCAGTCAGGGAAAAGATGCGTCGAAAGTGGCCACACACAGCTCACGATGGCCACTGTGTCCCTGCTAGCCTGAGTTGTGCATGCCCGAATCTGAATCCTGACCCTAGCTGTGTCTATCTAGAGTACACCTTGATACCATGTGAGGCAATCCTCATGTACAAACTGTCACAAAGAGGTACAAGAAGAGACTTACGGTGCAAACTGTCAGAAAGTCACAAAATGTACAAGATGAGACTTGTGGTACAAAGTGACAGAGAGCCACAAAAGGTACAAAAGGAGACATAGGTCCCCTGCCTGACCTGAAGAATCCAAACAAAAGGAGACATAGGTCCCCTGCCTGACCTGCAGAGTCCATCTGATAGGGGAAGTGGTGTCTCCTGGTAATTTGACTCAAGGCGTGCTGAACTGCAGAATTGTCTCTAGCGTCCTGTTCCCTTCCCAGGGCCTTTAGTTATGTGCATTATGACTCCTTAGCCTATCCAGGGCTCACAATGGACAGAGCTGGAGAGGTATCATCTAAAATTCCACATGGAGTATTAGCTCCACAGGAGAGAGGGTGTAGTCTGCCAAGTTTTGTGAAACAAATAGAAAACAAGGCCACGAAGCCTTCGGAGAAACAATCAAGATAGATCTGCAGTATGCAAGCTCAAGGGCATGCTGATTCTACCACAAAAGAGACCCAGGTCAAGGGGATCACATAACCATCACCTCCAGAAAGACAGGGCTTGATGCATGAGAGAGTCAGGATGTGAGGCCTTGATTCATATTCAATTCATGACATCCACCGGCATTTCTGTGCCAGTACATTTAATTTAATAAGCCCATGTGTCAGGGGCCACTTCAGATAGATCGCAGCTGCTGCTTTCCACACCCTTGGCCCTTGGAAAGTTCTGTTCTCTGGCTCTTCCTTCTTCCACTCTGTACACAGTGTTCAGATATGCTGTATGTTTTAGAAGATCGTAGTCTGTGTGTCCTTCTGCACTCTGGACACATTAGACAGAAGATCCCAGTTGTGAACACGGTCAACAGTGTTGAGGCTGTGCAGAAGGAAAGAAAATCCAGGAAATATTATGTTTGTACATGATTAAATATGCATGTAACATACACATAGAAATACATACATATGATTTGGTTTGAGGACCAACATGAACGTTTCTCGATCTCCACATGTCAAGGAACCCTCACCAGCAATTTTCATTGCTAACCATTATTTCACCCGAAAATGAGCAACAGAAAGGAATCACAGAGGCTATGCATTTGAAAGTGTAAGGTAAGAGTAACTGGGAGGACAGCTCAGTGGTTAAGACCACTTACAGTTTAGATGGATGACCCAAACTTGCTTCCTAGATTCCATGTCAGGTGGCTCCCAGCCACCTGTAACTCCCTCTCCACAGCATCCAAGGTCATCTTCTGGCCTCTGCAGAGGTCATACAAGTAGTACACACAGAAAAAGGCATGCACGCGTGCTTGTACATAAAAACACTTTTAAAAGACTAAGGAAACACAGTGAAAAACTAATGTTGGGTGAAGAGGTTGTTTGGGGCTTAAACAAACTCACACAAAGAGGATGGACCAACCCTTAAAATATATGCGATGTTCCTCCGTATGTTTATGCCTTCTCTCTCTCTCTCTCTCTCTCTCTCTGTGTGTGTGTCAGGAATATAGCCAGTATAAGGGACAATATTGCCCCAAATTTCACAAAAGTTCATCCTTATGCAAACATACACAAAAACATCACAAGAAAAGTAGGACTGAAATGATACAAAAGATTGGGCATACACAGGGGCTAGTGGTCCTTAGGGTTGGAGAGAATTTTCTCAGCGCAGGCCATTGATCTGTCAGGGTTACCATCTCTGAACTAATCTTTTGTTCACTGTTCAATCTTGGTTTTTACCCACCCCTCAGGAGCATATGAAAAAAACCAAACCAATTATAAAACCTTAAAGCTTAAGAGCTACAGAGCCTCACTCCAGGGGGAGCTATGTGTTGTACAGCTGAGAATAAAATGGTATCTAAGACACTGTTCCGACTCTACTCTCTGCAGGCTCCAACTCTGGAGTTCTCACCTCCCGAAGCCTCTCCCTCTCTCTGCCTGTTATCTGCATGGTGTTTGCCACTGTCATCTTTCCCTCTTAATTATTCATGCTGCTTTTTTTCCTATGAAATTTTCCACCTGTGGACACTTGATTCTTCAGCAAACTCAATGAAAGCCTTTGAGATTTATTGATTGTGAGTGTCTTTGTTGTCTGGTTTAGCTCCCAGTGTCTGCAGCATGGCTACTTCAACTTTCCCTTTCTCCTCTCTAACTTCAACAATGTACATATTGCTGGTTTAATTCATGGCAGGAGACACCATCAATATCCCTTCCTAGGCACACGGTCCTAAATCAAGTCGGGGAGGAAAGGGTTTATTTGGCTTACACTTCAGCATTACTGTTCATCATTAAAGGAAGTCAGGACAGGAACTCAAGTAGAGCAGGGACCTGGAAGCTGGAGCTGGCACAGAGGCCATAGAGGTGTTCTGCTTACTACATGCTTGCTCCCCATGTCTTGCTCAGCCTGGTTTTCTATAGATTCCAAGACCACCAGCCAAGGGACGGCCCCACCCACAATGGACTGGGCTCTCCAACATCCATCACTAATTAAAAATTGCCATACATCCATATTTTATGGAGGCATTTTCTCAGTTGGGGTTCCCTCATTTCATATAATTCTAGTTTGTGTGTCAAGTTGACAAACAAATAATCAGCACACATGCCAAGGACATGGATTCTGGTGTTAAAGCTGCTAGGACTTCATGCTTCTCATGGCCACTTGCACCATGAAGGTACTTTCCCAGTTTTTTGGGTTGAGGTCTTCCAGCAGAGTGGGTCAAGCTGGGACACAAAGAGCTAGGTATAAGGAAACAGGTGAAGCAAGAATGTGGTGCCCAGTTTCCTACTAAGAAGAGCTCACTACAGAAGAGGAGTTGAAACCCAAGGAAAATTAATCTTATCTAGAGTGACAGGCTGAGAGAGTCATGCTTTAGACAAAAGGGGGAGGGATTTGAGCAAGACTACATGGAGCATCATAATAGCTCCATGTAGAGAAAGGTGAAGAGGGACAGTGTTGACAGATGGGAATTCACTGTAGACTGTGATAGGGTGTCCCCAGACAATGAAGTACACAACCCCTGTGACCAGCAGGAAAGAGTCTACGTGAGATTACCTACACAGAACCAACTGGGAAGGAACTCATGACTAATATCAACTGTACCTAGGAGAAAACCTCAGGGTGTATCTGCAAGAGAGAATTTGGACAGGTAATTAAGACAGAAAGACTCACCTAAGGGTCAGCTGCATCATTCCATGGGCAGGGGTCCCTAGACTGAATGAATAGAAGTAGGGTAATCATCCATCCCTCTGCTTCCTGACTGTGATGCTGTGTGACCAGTTGCCTCTTGCTCTTGCTGCTATGACTTCCCCAGAAAGGACTGTCCCCTGGAACTGTGAGCCACGATAAACCCCTGCTTCCTTGCTGCTTTTGTCACAGCAATAGAAACAGTGGCCAAACAAGAGCATAGCTCCAGACATTCCAGGCTAACCAGCCTGGGATACTTTGTTGGTTTCAACTATTTTGATTGTCTTCTGCATGGCAAATTGTCCCAAAGGGGAAGGCATGAGCTTCCAGCTGGAGGAGTGCCCCATCTGCTTCTTGAGAGGCTCCCTGGGCTGATAGAATATATCAGATACATGAGGATAGGGAAACAGTGAGAACCCAACATGGGAAAGAGGATGGATGCCTGGGCAGTCACAAGTTGCCCCTGACTAGTCACTGATAATAGAAGATACAAGAGAGAAACTGGAAGAGGTCTGGATGAAAAGACTCCAATTAGAGAATGGACAGAGGAGGAGAGTGCAAGAGGGAATTTATACTCACTCTTAAGTGATAGCAGCAGCAGACAGATCTGGGAGAAAGACAGTCTGCTTTTTTTCCTGTTTGGAGTTTAAATTAATGTTGGATGTTTACATTTCTCCTTGAGTTTAGACTCAATTGAGAAGTAAATAGTGTTGATCGGAGATGTGTGGAATTTACAATTGGAATGAACTCTACTGGAGTAGAGGTTTAGGAGTCCTGTGCCCCAGAATGCAGCCAAGAACACAGGGGCTCTGTCAAGGAGACTACAAGGAAGACATAGAAAAGCTGAGCACCAATGGGATTGAGAGAAGAGACATAGAAACCAGAAGAGATGCCCTGAAAGGAGTTCGAGAAGTACACAGTTCAGAAGCTGAGTTAGGCATCCCCAAGTACTATCACCCCCAAATCCTGAATATATTTCCTGGAGTACCCTGGTAGAAAGTCCATGCACAGAGGCACACTGTAGGTGTGCTCCTGGAGACCCACTACAGGCTTTCAGAGAAAGGAATATCAGAGTCTGTGGGCCCCCTGCAGGAGTGCTGCTTAAAGAAAAGCAGTTGTCATCAGCTGTCTGAGTCTGGACTCATCATTATCCAGAGAGACAATCAAAGAGCTAGAACCTACAGAAAGTATGAGGACAACTGGGAAATAAAGCCAGGTAGATAAATCAGGAAGAGGAAACAACAAAAAGTCACAATAAATCTTACACACTCAAAGGCAAAGTCTTACATGCTCTTGGCCTGTGGTAATACCTTTACCACGCA